GGCCACTTCTCCATTACTTTGATTTATTTAACATTTATTCAATTTATTATTAGGTTACTTTATATTAGTGCCTGCCTGATGGATACAAGGTATTTCTGAGCTCTGCTTTCAATTGTGACCAGTGGATTTGAAAAATAAACGTGATAGTTTGATAAAAAATAAATCGATAGCCTAATCATGGATTCGCTGTTGTCTGCAACCTGATCTCCGGTGAAAGGCTTCTGCACACAAAAAAGAAAAGCCCTGCATGAACACGCAGCATAATGAAGCGAGTGGATTTTCCTGATGGATCTCATAACTATAAGATGATGTCTGTGTGCGAGGATTACGAACGTATGCTCCTTTTCTATGTGCGTTCCTCTCTTAACACGAAAGTGAAAGTAACCTACACATTCGGGATAGTTTAAAAGAATTTGGGTCTAATCAGGTCCATTTGGGAAAAGCATGTTTATTTTAAATTACCCGAGACCGCTAATACCGAACCCGACCCGTGTCCGAGGTACTCGTCGAAGTTCTGGACCCAAACCCGCTCGGGTCTCAGGTCGGACCTCGGATTTTCGGATCCAAGTGGACCCGTGAAAACCTCTACTTCTGACGCTGCATGCAGCTGAAATCAACCACACACTCATCACAATGAAAACATCGACCTTAGAAATAACGAACTTGAACACTGGGATAATCGCGATGTATATGGCGAACCCCTGTTGAAATGCATCCACAAGAATGCTTATTTCATTTAACCTGTTTCATGTCCGTTACTATTGGTGTGTTCTTAGAGCGATTACATATGCTCTAAACTGCGTTTTGCTCCAGCTGTATAAACACAGATGCTAAATGCTGCTAACTTAATATTCGCTCCTGCATACAATGCAAACTGCTAACATGACACTTAGTTTAAACTTGATTATGGTTGCTCATTTTTTAATTCAATTAGGCAGACCACGCAACACACAGCGATTAGAAGAGCATTCACTTATCTTAGATATTGATTTCGCTGTTGTAAAGCAAACTGCAACTGTTACGGCAAGCACTAGTCATATGTGGCCAGAGGTATAAATACAGCATGTTTCCAATGTGTGTTGAAACTGTGTATGGCCCCATTAAGAGATCCAATCGTGATCGACTACTCCGACATGCTGTGGGAAGGTGTCCGGTAGTCGACCTGAAAATTGGAGGTGTGAATGTGTCATGTCTGCTTGACACCGGGAGCCAAGTCAGTACAATTTCTGAGCACTTCTTTAAAGAGCTGAATGTCAAGTGTAATGCAGTAGAGCTGGACCTGATGGAGGACGGAACAAACTACCAGGACTTGCTGCATGAGATGACGGGGCAGAAAACCGTCCCCAACGTCTTCATCAACAAGAAACACATCGGAAGCTGTGACAACACCATGAAGGCACACAAAGATGGCGACCTGCAGAAGCTGCTGGGTGAAGGCAGTAAGGCGTACGACTGTGATCTCATCGTCATTGGCGGTGGTTCTGGAGGTCTGGCCTGCTCAAAGGAAGCAGCCGCCTTGGGGAAGAAGGTCATGGTTCTGGATTATGTTGTTCCCACACCGAAGGGCACAACCTGGGGTCTAGGAGGCACGTGTGTGAACGTGGGCTGTATTCCTAAGAAACTGATGCATCAAACGGCTCTGCTGGGCACCGCCGTGGAGGACGCACGCAAGTTCGGCTGGGAATTCTCTGATCAGGTGACTCACAACTGGGAGACGATGAGGACCGCGGTGAATAACTACATCGGTTCACTGAACTGGGGCTACAGAGTTTCCCTACGAGACAAAAACGTCAATTACGTCAACGCTTACGCTGAGTTTGTGGAGCCGCACAAGATCAAGGCCACAAACAAGCGTGGGAAAGAGATGTTCTACACTGCCGCTAAGTTTGTTCTGGCGACGGGAGAGAGGCCTCGTCATCTGGGCATCCCTGGAGACAAAGAGTACTGCATCACCAGTGATGACCTGTTCTCATTGCCCTACTGTCCCAGGAAGACTCTTGTCGTCGGGGCGTCGTATGTGGCTCTGGAGTGCGGGGGGTTTCTGGCCGGTTTGGGGCTGGATGTGACCGTCATGGTTCGCTCCATTCTGCTGCGAGGATTCGATCAGGACATGGCCAACCGTGCGGGAGATCACATGGAGACACACGGGGTCAAATTCCTCAGGAAGTTTGTTCCTACCAAGATCGAGCAGCTAGAAGCTGGAACTCCAGGCCGACTTAAAGTGACAGCCAAATCAACCGAGAGTGATGAAATCATTGAAGGGGAATACAACACTAATTGGTGAAACATTGCGTTATTATTTGTTTCTTCCTGTAAGTTTTCATTGTAATTACACTTTGGAATTATTATAGAGTAACTTTTGAAGAATATTTGGAATTTAGTAATTTTCTTATTTTTCCTATTGTCTTGCGTATTATTTTATTTTTTGCTCAGTGGTGTTCCTGCCGACCGCTGTAAATTCTTTTAAGTAAAAAAACAGCAGTCAGATAAAACCCCTATACAAACAAATGAATCTGCCGTGTGTTTCTTTTTCCTGATTACACATATATTTGAATGTTGAGCAACGAGAGAACAATCAGCTGTGCCATGTGATAATGATGTCATTAGGTCAGATTGAGTTAGACCTATCGGACTGCGCCATCTAGAGTTTCATGCCAGAACTCTGTATGTGTTTCCCTCAGACTGTTAATGTAACCACAAAAGCCACAGGATGCGGCCTGGCCCTTGCATGTGACACACTCGTCTCTCAGGTAATCTTAACTGATGATAACCTAAACATGGTTAAATTAATGATGTATGTTGTCCTGCCAACAGAGTAGCTCAATAACTCATATTGTGTTTGTATAATAACCTCAAAACCCAGTGTTTAGGTGGACATATGATATAATGGTTGTATTTCTGTCACTGGAAGGTTGTGCAGTGAGAGATCGAACAATTTACTTAATTTTCTTTTCTTTTTTTGAGCATTTATCAATATCTCCCACTATCAATATCTCAACCAATATGCAAAATATCTTTTAACATATAACTTAATTCTACTGTGGTACTGCTTTCCTTGTGTGTTTATATGTGTGAACACTATTCAGCAGCAAGCCAAACTCCATTCAAATAAACAGGGTGTCTACAGATATGAATAAGTAAAATTTAAGACGTTTTAAGACCTTTTTAATACCACCTTATGTGAAATTTAAGACCAAGCCTGTGAAGGAAATACACATTATATTACATACGTATATGTAATATTAAACGCGTTTAAATGTAAAAAGAAAACAAAATATCATCGTTGTCAAAAATTCTATTCGTTATTATGATATACAGTGAACTTTTCATATCAGCAGACAATATCCCATACAAAATATTCCCACAAAACAAAAGTGTCGCATCACCGAGATTTTTGCTGGTGTAAACAATTTACTCTGAAGCAATATTTTCATCAGTTTTCTGTCAGCTTTTACATACTTAAATCTGCATGTTTTTAATATTTACCACAGGATGTCATTTACCTTTATAAAGGCCAATGTTTTTTTTACCTTATTAAATGTATGCGTCATCTTTCGTGTCAAATTCTTACAATTGATCAAGAAATTTACTACACTACAGGGATGTTACCAATCAAATAAAAAAATTACAACAGCAATAAATAATGTTATGTGATTAATGTTGTAAATAAAATTTTGAACATACAAATAAGAAATGTTGGGGGAAAATGCATACTTTTAAGCATGAGACTAAACCGCCAGTAGGTGGCGACAAGTCACTTATTCATTAAACAGATTCCTTCAAACAGCGGAATCATTCAGTAACAAAAACGCCGTATGGCTTGGAGAATGTGAGCAATAATTCTGTTCTGATCTTTGTTTGGAACTATTTTCGTTGGTGAAATACAATAAAACAGTCAACTGTGCCTAAAAATTTAAGTAACTTCATATACTTTACTACTTGTTTGTTGAACTAAAATCAATGTAACATTTGCAATCATGAAAATATTCAGCAAAATATATCCCTTGTCATGGTATGTTACTTGACTATATCATGTGTAATGTCTGATTACTTTTCCTAGGGAATTAATTATTATTAATTCATTCAGGTTTTGAGAGTACTCGAATTGGAAAATTGTCACAGTCTTCAGCCGGTGTGCCCAGGAGGGCCACCAGATGACTGTGTTCTGGGAGCACATGGCTTGTGTTGTGTTTGTCTGTTGCCATGTGCTCTCTCCTGTCTATTGTCTGGCCCCTCCCATCTTGTTACCTCGTTATTGTTTTAGTTGCTCCACCTGTGTCTCCCTCGTTTGGTTCCTATTTATTCTCCTTGTGTCTGCCGTCATGGGCTGATCCGTCATTTCTCATTGTGTGTGTTTCGTTTCTGCAGCTTTAGCTCTGCCTGTCTGTTTTTCCCCCTCGGGGTGGTTTGAGTTTGTTTTTGTTTCATTTGTTACTAAAATAAAATACCATTTCTCCAGCGATTGAGTCCTCGCTTCATCTCCCCGCACGCACCGTGACAGAACGGATCAGCCACATGGGGACTCAGCGGAGAATGGGCTCACCCCGACTACCGGTCTCTACTCTCTCCAGCCCCCTCTACCAGCGCATGCTCCAGCTGGAGACCCTGAGCTCCCTCCGGCAACGAGGGACCGAGCTGAGGGAGTTTGCCGGGGAGTTTAAGAAGGCTGCAGAGGGGCTGGGCTATAATGACGCGGTGCTGAAGGACCTGCTGAATTATGCCCTGGATAAGCCCATTAGCCCCTGGAGCATGCGACACCAGACAATAATTCTTTATAACACAAATTTATTGGCTATTCTATATTACATTAAACTAAGTTAAAACACACATACACACACATACATACATACACATACATACATACAGTTCTGAAGAATGATGTTAATGGAGTTCTGAGGAAAGCCCAAAGTTTTAGCAAGATATTCGCTACAGTTCTTTTACTTGCAACCTGAGAAAATCACAAAGCAGAGATTTTCTTATCTTTACTGCTTAACTCAGTTCAACAGTTCAGCACCTATTTCAGCAGATGGAAGACCTTGTTTGTACTTGCGTTTTTGGGTGACAGCTGAAAAGCTGAGTTGTTCCTCGTGGCTGCTGGAGGGAATTCCGTTGCTGATTGGCTGTTGATCTGGCGCCTGAATGACGTTTGGATGACGTCCTTTTGGGAGAGCCCTTGTTGGATTGGTTGGTTGCCGGGTTACGGAGGAGCCTCTGGCGGTTCTTCTGAGACAGTCTAAGTTTGCAAGACTTTAAGTTCCGCAGAGTTATGAAGCTTCAACGGAGTGGGTGAGTCTTGGATTGAACGATCGCTTTGATGGTGAGCGTGTGAGCACAAGTTAGAGTGATCTCCACACGGCAACAAGGCGAAGAAGCAAGCGAGTCTGTCTTGCATTGGGTTTTTGATCCGCGGCATAGGTCCATCCCACGGCGCGATCTTCCAATTGACTTCTTGCAAGGCGGAGCGTGCATACATTAACATGAGGCTTTAATTCATCACATGAGAACACCGTTTATAAAAGTTGTTAATACTTCTATAAAGTTTCTTAAATGCAAGTATTGTACATACTATTAAAGTTTACTTCATTTCAACATTCTGCATTTGTCGTGCCCATTCGTTCAAGATTAAACTTCACATATTACACACATTTTAATAACCTTATTTCCTAAAAAAGGGTAATAAAACACTGATTAAAGTTGCACCGATTACATGAAACACGTCAAGCATATATAAGACATACAACATATTATTTGTGAATATGGTTGCCCTGTTATGCGCATAAACGATTATCTGTTGAAATTGTCTGTTGTAAGTTTCATGTCCCTTTGTCTGTGACAGGAGAAATGCGCACTTTTTTGAAAGTAGTAAAAGGATGCATCCCTTTTTTGGAATGCAGAGAGAAAAGGGGAGGTGTCCTGAGGTCATGCCCATGTCACGAGTGTAGATCTGCCATCCTTCTGCTGGACAGGGAGCTCTTAATCTGTCGCTTTCTGTTTATCGGATTATCAATTTATGCATTAAACGGTCATGGGGTCCGGGCGAGTCTGTCGCTGGAACATTTCCAGATACCATGTTCTTTGTTCTGTTGTCTCTTAGATAGTTATTTATGCTGAAGTCGGTCAACATTACACTGAACATCTGGTCCTCGAGGGGTTTAATCACTGTTTTTATTTGAGTCTCTTGAGACCATAAGCTAGATGGGACAGGAACTGCTGAGACACTTCACTGACCCTGCATGAGTTTTACGAGCGCAGGCGGAGATCATAGGGTGCTCCTCAGTTTGTCTCAGTGGAATGTGATTGTTTCATGTGTGACTCAATAGTGTGAGTGGGTCCGTTTGAAGACAGAGATCCTACACATGCTATGAATAAACTAAACATTTAGAATTTTTACCTCAGTATGTTTGTTCTGAGTTTCTTTATGTGTGCTGCACACTCATTTGATTTGATTTCTCCATGAAAGTCTCTCACAGAGACAGGCAGCACGAGCCTCAACAGCACGACATTGATAATAGAAATACACTATCAATTATCAATCGCTGGTTAAGCTGAATGTAATAAAATCAGAAGAATTTGCGCATTTTGATGCGTGATTATATTTTGTCACTTAAGTTTTAATCAGGCTATTAGTCCTGTCGGGCAAGTACAATTGCCATTTTTCAGTAAACTTGCATTAACCCATCTAAAGTATTTCGGAGGCTGGACAGCGAGCTGGTGTTCGACTGTATTCTGTAACCGCAATTCTCTCTGATGATGTGGTAACTACGGGGGTGGGGGGGGTATTACAAAAATGACTTACGAACAATGCTTTGGAAGGCATGTACATTACAGAAAACTGTAGCAGCAGTCACATGGAACGTAATACTGAGTAAACTGAACTAAAATGGCTGCTCTCTTGATTAGTCAGGTAATTTTCAAAATAAGAGTCCCAAGCAATTAAAACTCAAAGTACATAACTCAAAGGACGGAACAGTGGCAGTACCATAGGTGTGTTATGGTATCTGATCTGATTGTTTAACAATTATCATGACCATATACAATGGAGGTAGTACCATAATATAGTAGTTTGCTACTTTTTAAGTGAATACAAAGAATAACAAGATATTCCTTTTCTGATCATATTTTGAATATTAAATGATTTGGTGTTAAAAATTAATAATATTAAAAGTATAGTTTACCCAAAAATGAGAATCTGCTAAAAATGTACTCACCCTCAGTCCATTCAACATGCAGATGAGATTGTTATTTTCATCAGAACAGATTTTGGAGAAATGTAGCATTACATCCCT